TAGGAAATCTTTAATAATGCCAAGTAACAAATCTTCTAATTTCAGCTCCAAATTTGATTAAATCCAGAGAAATTCGAAAAAAATTATGGATTTAATCACTTTCAAAAATGCACCTAACAGTTTCTGCATGATATGATAGTGATTTTATTTCATATTGAAATTATTATAAATATATTTATAACCAAATTTATTTTAAATGATCAAACACTATATATTTAAAAACATAAATAACTAATTGTAAGTTAAAACCAACAAACATTTTATACATATTCAAATACCTTTGCCGTATAAGGAAATATTTGTAGTTTAATTCAAGTATGTGAAATGAAGTGAATTCTAGGTTAATATTTAGTTTCACATAAATTGCTCAATGTTTATGATTAATCTTCAATCGTGTATTTCAATTTAGCAATCATTTTAATTATCCTCCTACAAAATGAACTCGTGTTTGTTTTGAAACCGAAAATAAATAGTTAGCATTCCTGCGGATTTGAGTTAAGTAGTCATTGGTTTATTGTCGGTTTGATGAATAATGATCAGAGCGAAGTCTCGGTATGACAAACGACGCATCAGAGGCCAACGTATTTACATTGGCTCGGGACGAGATGAATAACGTCAAGTATCAGGACATAATCTTGAATAACGACGGCAAGTTCTTCTATTTCTGGTCAACATCCGCGGACGAGTCGGAATTCCTTCGGAACGAACGCGCTTTAAATATAACCAGGACCTTGAACGTCCCAAACACACGTCACTCGTGTAAAATCTCGACATTTTTCATTACTCAGAAATTTTGTTTTTGTTTTACGACGCTATGACTCGATCCCATAGTAAATCTATTATTGATTGCTATTTGCTATGTCACACGATTTGAAGAGACATAAAATAATAAACACTTTAAAATAATAAGTTCTTTTTATGTAGTCGACCAAACTCTTGAAAGCAAAAGTCTGATCAAAATCAAATTTCTACTGTTTTCCTTGCAAAATCTCATCGTTTTGCATTACTAGATCCAGCCGTGATTAAATAGTTAAGGACGTGAGCTAGCACAAACTAGCCCTGGTTCGATCCCAAACTCGTCCAGCTCGGTATCAAGAAGTATAAAATCAAATTTGCACTTGATTTTACAGATCTGTAAGAGATCTAATTCTAGATCGCGATCTCAAATATAATATCAAGTAAAAATAGTTTATTACAGGCATTGCTGCAGCATTTATGCCAATACTGTTAGACATACATATCTAATATATTTTGCCTTTTCGAGAAAATACTTAGATAGAATATATAATAAAATACTATCAAAAATATATGATAGAAAACACAGCTCGTAGAACATGCAGTTATGATTACTGTTAAAAATTTCATTACTCCAAAATTTTGTTTTTATTTTATGACTTGATCTTATACTTTATTTAATATTGATTGCGAAGTGTCGAGAATTGAACATTCCAAAACATTATATACATACACTTTAAAATAATAATTAAAGTTTTTGGCAAAAACCTGATCAAAATCACATTTTGACTACAAAACTAGAAACGAAAAAAAAATGACGATATAGTTACTTTATAATTCTCATGTTACAAAAGGTTATAGCACTGCCAATAGAAATGGTGTAGGCAATAACTGAATTTATATATTTGTTAAAGCAGATTTTTAGGCCATACGAAAAATAATAATAAAATTTAGCTTGAATTAATTCTGAACGCTAAGATTAAATATTATTTCTAATAAATAAAGGAACTTCGAAATATGTGCATTTGTTTTCAAAGAAACTAGACATGCAGTGGTAAAGTAGTAGGTAGTATATGACCAGTGAAATGGTTCATTATTGAAAAGATTGAAAATATATCCATCTAATCATGGTTTTTCATAATGTTAAAATTTACAATGATATACCATTAAATGTAACATATACAATTATATCATTTTTATTTTTTTGTTTTATAAATCCATTGGATTTCATACCTCACTTCTAAGACATCATCATATCTGTCACATCTTTGTAAAAATGTATATTAATTCTGACTGACTCTTTAAACGTAGTAACGAAGTAACTAAATTTATATTAGCTCGAATCTCATTTTAAAAACAAACAATTATACACATGCTAAGAATAATTATAATTAATTGAGTTTCTTTATGCTCAGAGTAGGTTAAAAATTGAAGATTAACATCATTATGTTAGAGGCTACAAAAACAACATTATTTGACTTTACATTATAAAATGGATAAAAATAAGAGTACTATTTTGGTATCAGATATATGGAATAAAAATAAAAATGTAAAAATACATGAGTCACAAAGAGGTGTTGATTCAATCCAATTAAGGAAAAAACATAAAAAATCAAATATTTATTTTCAATCTAAATAAATTAAATTTACGAAAACCGGCTGTGAAATTATGAATGCTAAATTGAAATAATATCAAAACAAAATTATCTGAATTCCTTTAATTGGAACACGATTCGTTTTCGTTAGCACACGTGTTCCTTAAGGTGAGATTTATTTTGATGGTTTCAATGTTCATGGTATCACGATTTCCTGTTTGTTAGCATCAATGACGCAAAAGTGAAATATTTTCATCGCTGATGTCTAAATATCTACAAATCTGCAATATATTTATGTTATTTTCATTTCATATCATCTCGAATGTGCGCATCAAAATTTTGATAGAGTTTTCTCACTTATAAACACGCATCAGCATCAAGAACGCTCGTAAAACTAATGTGTTCATTAAAAATTTCAAGTTTTACTCGCCCTTGGAACAAGAAAAATCATATACATTTTATAGTTTTAATGGAATCAAAATAACTGAGTATATATTATTAGATTAAAAAACAACAACACTATTTTTATAACTCGTTTTTAGGACTTATTATCTTTAGAATATGATCGTGTAATTATTATTTTTCCATTAGAAACGTATCAAAAAATAAGTCTATGAATTATAGTTGAAATATGTTCTTAGGAATAATGGGTAGTACTCTCATTGATACACTAAGCTTTGATGATACCATAATACAAAACCCTCAAAAATTAAATACCCTCAAAAGCATTTCGAGATTTATATTTATATTATTTATACATAATTTTCATCAAAATAAAGAATATTATAATGTTAATATTTATCAGTAATCCAATGATATTTAAATCGAATAAACATGATAACTCTAGCTCTTGACCATTACATTAATTATAATATAAGAAAAATATATGAAGAATATATAAGCAACTAGCAAAGTCGACGAACTCCTTTTCGCCACCAGATGGTTTCGTGAGAAAGATGAAGAAATTTTTTGTTTGTTTTATATTTGAAAAAGAAAAATTTGATTTTATCACACAACAGTAATGAATTTATTTCGATTGCAAAAATGAAGTGTTTCTAGTTGAACTTCTCTAAGTAAATAAAAGTGAATCCGCAAATTATCCGTTTCATTGAAGTGCTCTTTGGTAAACCACATTTTTCGTTTTTTGGTCTGACGTTAACACAAACAAAGCGGATGGTTTTCCAACTCTAGAACAGGCAACGTATAACTGCCCATGAGAAAAACAATGATTTTCTAAATAATCTATTTGAAATTTATCCCGCAAACATTAAGCGATTGGCCTTGCGACTTGTAATTGCAAACGCAAGGCGAACTGGAAATTGCAATCGTTTGAAGTCAAACGGAAGACCAGTCGGAATCATTGGTATATCACTAGATCGCCAGCAATTTTTGATTGAATGGGGAAATTCAGTGCGTGTTCATCATTATTCTTTGCGGCAAGAATTGCTCGTTGACTTAACCAAGCATAATTCTGATAATTCTCACTAATGTAAAACTCGAATTTTTAATTACGGTGCGCAAAGTTCCAGCAATTTGCATTAGGGCACGATGCCATGCACTACTAATTTATTTAGCTATATATATATATATTGCGGAGCCCGAGACCTTTCCAACGAATGCAAAATTGTCGAAATCGGTTCGTGCGTTCTGGAGTTATTTCGTCAGGAAGGAAAACCCGACTTATTTTTATATATATGTAAATATTATAATCTATTAGAAAAAAATAAAAATAAAAAATATAAAGGAAGAATGAATAGTTATCAAAAAATTAAATAGCAATATTGACAAAAAACAATAGTAATAATATTAGCTGATTAATCAGAATAGAAGAAAATTTATATATATATATATATATATATATATGTGTGTGTGTGTGTGTGTATGCGTGTGTATGCGTGTGTATAAATTTATAGATGATTATTAGTGAGAAATAAGAACACAAAAAAATAAACTTTATAAGATGGATTATTATTAACGGTTTGCTAAAATCTTGTATTTTATAGATAAAAATCTGAAACAGTTTTTTTATTGTTTACATTATTTTGTAATTTTTTAAATTTGAGCCCGTTACAAGCTAAATGCAATATATAATTTTATCATTATTATTTACATAGTATAATTTGTCAAAAGTAATTAAAGTATAAATTATAAATAAAAATCAATTATGCTATAAAGAATATAATAAAAACATATACATTATTATATTTTGTATCAAGTGCATTTAAAGTATTGTTTTCAAGTAGTCATTACCAAAATCAAACCCTCTGTTATTATAGCTCTTATTTTAATTGTAAATTCCTTTACTAGAGAAAATGCAATTTGCAATATGAAATATTAGTGGAAGATTTATTAAGCAAATACGTTAAACATTTGATATAACTTGTAGTTTTAATGAATCCAATAAATAAAAGTTAAAGAGTCAATAAGGTATAACAAGTATAAATATTTCTCAATAAACATTAAATACTATGAGAATTATATTTTGGCAAAGTATATAGAATAATAATCAGGATAAAGAAACTATATCATTAAAACACTATGTATACTTTTTATATATTTAACGTATAAAATTTTATTAATATTCGAAATGAAATAATTCTTAAAAAGTATGTTATCAACTTAAGAGAAAAAAAAATTAAACGATGCTATCTCAAATAATTCTCTACTTACAACGATAAAGCGAATGGCACCAACTTCATGATCAACATCACTCATTTTTGCAAATTAAAACAAATGATATTTTTAAACGATAAAAAAATTATCACTTTAAAATAAGTTATCAAATTCTAGAAATAATTTCACAATTTTTTTTAATTTATCCGAAGAAAGCACAAAGTTGCCAATTGGTTTTATGAAGCAGTGTATTCGACGGTTAACTGAAGCACACTATTTTGATCCGTTGGCGCGCTCATTGCGATGAGTTACCAAGTGTAAAAAATTATATGTATAAGATATAAATAAACATCGAGATTTATCAAAATATTCGGCGAAATATGTCGGTATGCGCATCTTGTGGCCTCAAAGTGCTTTCATTCATGCACTGGTGGACATTCATCACCAGAACGCACATGCGCTGTTGTTCATCATCAAATATATGTACACTTTCGGCATGGCAACTTCATCAGATAAAACTTGGCCATGCAATTGAACATCATAAATGAGATGATATACTTTTATATAGCTATAGTTACTCTTGCTTATAAAATAGAACATTACATTACAATAATGCAGCTTTGATATTATTAGAAACTAACCATAGGTCTCTTTAACATAGGAAATCAACATATTTGTCAAATATCTCCCTTCCGCTTTTTTGCTCTTTATTCAAAAGACAACCTAATACATATAATTATTGAAGTCACACATCTTGATCAAATCAGTTCAATATTACTTCTTATAAAGAATTTAATCAGAAAGAGTCATATAAAATTAGAAGATGATTAGGAGATGACATCGTGCCTTAAGGCAAATTGCGCATTTTGGGTGGGACATAGTTACATGTCAGGGATACGGATAGGACAAGCTGGACCGTTAGCCTACGGATAGCCTACGGATAGCCTACAGATAGCCCACGGATAGCCTACTAATCCCTAAGATCATCTCGTGCTGCCTGAGTCAGGATTCCGGTACCAAAAATTAAATTTTTTAAAAAGTTTTAAATTTTTTTGAAAACCTTGAAAAAATTCGATTTTTGAGACTTAAAATTTTTGAAAAGGATTGACTTTTTTGAAACATTTGAAATTTATTTTTATATTTTGAATTTTATGAAAATTTTGAACTTTTTTCAAAGCGTATATCATACGGAATGAACATATAGGTACGAAACTCATAAAAATGTAAACAAAATTTGTACTTATTTAAAATTCTATATTATGCCAAAAACTGTATTACCATTTTAGGCAACCTTTGCCCCATTTTTTCTAAACGGCTGGATCTGCCTTTGCCAAAAACTAATCAGAACGTCTTCCCATCAATTGAAATCCATTGTTTTTTTGAATTATTTGTAATACATACCATTAGAGAGCATTCTCTATTTGCAAAAATCAGGTAAGGCATATATGTAGATGCTCTTATCCACGGATGCAAGTGTAATTAAATTAATAGTAAAACAATTAAATGCATAGTAAAACTATCTGCTTAAGTAAATGTAAATATATCTATCTATAAATATGTAAATATATCTATCTATAAATCTATCTTTAAATATGTAGATGTAATGGATCAAAATTCTATTTAATATTTTGTAGATGTAGATGTAATGCATCAAAATTCTATTCAATATTTTTACTAGCAGTGTGTGTATTTTTACAAATACATTCGTGCTCAAAGGCAATGTATAACATTGTATATAAATATATATCACATATTATCAAGGGAAAAATAAAATAGTCTATAACTTGGAGTCAATTATAATTTATTTATTAACAAAACCAAAATTATTTATTTCATATTATTATTCCTATTTATGAATTTGAACAACAATTAAAATTACTTGGCATGCGCTTGAGCACAAAATTTTAATAATCAAGATGAGAAGTTAAAAATATAAGCAGTTTGACACACGGAAATTGTTTGAATTTTAATAACACTAGTAAATGTGAATTATATATATATATATATATATATATATATATATATATATATATATATGTATGTATATATATACTAGCTGGCCCGGCAAACGTTATTTTGCTAAGTAAGGTATTTTCTAAACAATTTCTAGAGTATCAAAAAAATTTATATTTTAATTTAATTGTGTAAGAATGTGTTGTTTGAATGCTATATACAATAAGGTATTATAAAAACAATAAACCCCATTAGTTTGTCTATATTTTATTAATACAATCAAAGTGGCAGTTACATACATTTTCTATAGAAAACATGGCATAATCCAATACAAGTCTTTTTTGGTCTTTCGACTTACATAGTCATTACAAATTCCATTTAATCAAATATTGATTGCGTTTTTCAGATTTTTTTTAGATTCTGGAGTTTGTGTATAATTGTAAATAATACTACTGAGCTTATGCGAGGAGAGATAGAAAATGAATTAGGTATCTCTTCTTTGACCTGATTTTTGAAAAGTTCCAAGTAACATACCATGAATTAAAGTAAATTTAATAAAAAGTATATATTATATATATATATATATATATATATATATATATATATATATAGCAGGGTAAGGCACAAAGATCCAATTTGATTTTGAGCAAATATAAATTATATTATGAAAATCAAACCAATTATATCACAACAAATGACCCATTTCATTCATTTCATTCATTTATTTTTATCATTTTCTTTTTGATCATATTATCATATTTCTGTACATTATTACTTGTTACAATTTATTATTTAAGAAAAATCTATTTTCTATTCCTAAACATATTGTTTGCTTAAATCTCATCAAGATCATGTTTTTTGACAGATGTCCTGAAGATGGAACGTACCTAGTTCCGAAACGTTGACAATAAACAAATAATTAAATAAAGAAATTGTTTTTTAAAAACTTTTCTTGTTTTTTATTTTGTATTATTTTTGGATTCTTGTTCGAAACTCTACAAAATATACACAAATCCAAGACTCTACCATTCAATATATATATATATATATATATATATGTATATATGTATGTATTTGAAATATTTTGCAGCCAAATCGTCGAATTAAAAAAGGTTAAAATAAAAAAATTTTATTAAACGTTTCGACACTTAACGTATGTCATCATTCAGTAATCTAAAAAAACATATTACATAGATAACAATAGTTGATAATAAATGAAAAAATATAAAAAGGAGAAAATTATATACATACCAAATCAGGAAAAACACAGAAAAATATTATATATAAAATTATTGAACTCCAAACTTGTGCAAAAGAATATATATATATATATATATATATATATATATATATATATATATTATATTTATTTTGAAAGTTTTTCCTCATAATATAAAAATATTTGCAACACTTGAGAGTTAAGATCTTGATAAACATATTAGGATCATATAATTCAGAATTCTTGTTGGGTGCCCCGTTTTAAAACAATATGTGATAATGTTAAATTACTATTGAATCCGAAAATTAAATACGCACATTTATAACAAAAGTTTTCACAAATTTGCGTTCCAAGGAAATAAGAATAAAAGTGCATAACGCCAATTAGTAGTAAAGAAAAATAATACCTTAATTACTAAAAATGAAGAGCAATTGCTACATCCGGCCCCACAAATGAATACCTGACGACGGCCATGGGGTTTCGAGACCAGAGAAAAGTGAAGGCTTAGTCGGCCCCACAAATGAATACCTGACGACATCCATAGGGTTTCGAGACCAGAGAAAAGTGAAGGTGTAGTCGGCTCTAAGGTATTAAACACTTAGAGAGAAAACACGTAAAATGATTGACTTATAGATAATAGCCTGATATGAGGCTAATCATCGTTGCAAACGGCTAGACAGATTGTTTTAAAATATCAACGGCATTGTGCACCTTCAAAACACTTCAAACAATAGCATACACAAAATGTTGTACCATACATGAATGGTAACATATCCTGAAATTTTGCAATATTACTCATGATATTTAACTCTTTATTTAAGTGATAAAAAACTAGTTGTAAGTTGTAAGTTAACTTATTGTAAGTTGATGACAGGTTAATCAAACTTTGAATCTTTGAATGAACTTGTGATTGTCGTGAAGTAGGCAAAGAAAGAGAAACTTACTGACCTGAACTGTGCCAATTCTGATGATCAGTTGTCAAACGATTGCAAAATTGTCGAAAAATTGTTGTAGAATACTATAAACGTAATTAAAATTATTTAATGTTAGTAATCAAAGTAATTACAAACCTATAATTTAATACCTACATAACCCAAAATAAAAGCATGATAAAATTAAGATGTCTTTTTGACGGGCATCCTAAAAAATCGTCTTAACCGTTTTTTACTTGCCTTATATACTTTTATATATTAAATAAAATATTACTATTATTATACAATGGTAACTTACAGATTTTGTTGTTTTTGTAATACTAGACACACTTTAAAAGAATGATCAACAATAAAAATTCAAAAAGTTTAAGACAACAGAAAACACTTCCATCTCTTTAGATGTCACTGCTGAGTTTGATATTCCGAAGCAGTAGTAGTAACATAATAATGATTCTTATCGGGTTGTCAAATTTGACGGTTACAGACATCGATAAATAAACAGGTTACAGAATTATTAGAACCGACATATAAATGTGAAATGTATAAAATTTGTGACACTAATAAAAAAGAATTCATGTGCAAGTGTTTGGCAATAGTTTTATGTAAATTTTAGGCAATAACGCAAATTTGTGCTAATGTACTGTGCAAAATTTCATAAAATATTATCAACAGGTTATAAATCATTGTCAATATTCATTAAGCAACTTATTTCAGAATAATAATAATTAATTATACATATTTTAATATTTTAGTATAAAAAAGAAATATGGCCTCAATAGTTGAAGACACATTTAAAGATTTAAAATTATGTATACAGACAAAACAGGGCACAAAAGCAAAATTATGCATTTCAAATATATTAAGATTTTTTAAAGGAGAAGTTACTTCATCTGAAATAGGTAAGAATGCTTTTGTATTTAAATTGTTGCAACTTTGATACTAATTTTTCATTTCTTTAGATTTTGCCTTGTCCATTATATTTAATGAAGACGATGGCATTATACCATTTATCAAACAACATATCTCTGAAGTTTATTTGCAAGAAAGTATAAAGTTCTCATTAGATCTACTTCTTTTGCTGGTAGAGGAGCTTCCCATTAAAATTAGAGAACATATTAAAGAAATATCAAAGGTATCAAACTAAACTACTATTCTTGCATTATTTATTGAAAATAACTTTCCGAACATATTGATTAATTGTTATTTATTGATATTAAATCAGTTAAATTTAATATTTTTTTAATGTGAGACGTTTTCTTTGCATTTTAATCATATAATAAGTTTTATTAAATGAAATAATTTTATCATGTCGTAAATAATTAAAATTGCATAATTAATAATATTAACTCAATTACAGATTTCAATAAAAACTTTATATACCGATAAGATGGCAAAAGAAAAATCTATTGCTCTTCAAATATTGGTTGCTATTGTGAATAATAAGGAAATAGTGGATTTATTGGATATTAATTATGTTATTGCACAAGTAGTCCATCATTTGGAATATGGAAAGTTATCTAGTTTAGGTAACTTTAATTTTTATTAATTTTATTTTGTAAATAGAAATACAAATTTTATCACTTTACTAATGATATTTTATATACAAATTATTATATAATTAATATGATAATTGATTCACATCATTACAATTCTAAATTTATCATAATAAAAATTTTATTTCAAAAATACACTGAAATTACATATTTTCTACAGTGTATGAACAATTATTTCCTTTACTTGGTATATTGGCCAGAGATTTTCCATATGAAATGCAAGATCATGTTTCTAGAGTTCAGGTGCTACTTTATTCACAATTTGAAACGCAAACAAAAAATCTTGTAAATGTGAGTTACTATAATGATAATAAATATGTTTTATACTTGTTCAACTACTGCTGTGGTAAGATACAAAAATCAAGATAAAGATTAAACCAATGAAAGTAACAGATTATGATAAAAACCATAAGAAATTTTTCTAACTTATTTAATGTGGCTTCTATTTTAGACCAAATTACGTATAATTCATGGCATATTAACAGCTTTTGAAAATATGTTTTGCACATTTGCACCAGACCCTGAAATAGATACAGAAGAATGTTTGAGATTATATAATATGCTAAAAACTATGTCATATCCCGGTGATGTAAAATTTCGACCGGCTTTTAGAGGTGAAGTATTTCCATAAGTTATACTGCTTAACAACTGATTATTTTATATGTATTTATATTAATGATAAAAATCAACTTCTTTTCATCATAAGCTGCTTTGAGCCTTTTAACAAAGCATGGTAACTTGGTATCAGAGCACCTATACAAAGATTGTCTGTGGTGGCATAACACATTACAAAGCTGGTTAAAACTCTCTTGGGAGGATATTTCAATTGCTGTTCCTGCTATAGAAGTTTTTCACATTCAAATTGCCAAAGTTTTATTGATAAAGAAGGAACTGAAAGTTTTACTGGTAAAAATTCAAATATGGAATTATTTATTTTTGTTTATCATCAATTTTTTATGTTTTAATTACAATTTATATTGTATTTGCACAGTTTTTCATAAATTTCTTCAAGACACAATTGCAAACAGAAAAAATTAAAACATATGAATTGAGAATAGTTATAAGAGGATTTGGAACATTTTCCTCGTGCTGTTCAGCACTATTATCTCAAGATGATATAATTCCTTTATACAAGATCATTATTCAGCAAACAGAAGTTATGTATACATCTGAAACTCAGCACAAATCAATACAAAACTTACCAGAATACTTAGAATCCTTATCAATTATTATTTCTCATATGCCATCAATAAATAATGTTCATTTAAAGGCTTTACAAAATTTGATTGTGATATTATTTCAAGAATTTCATCAATTATCAGGATCTCATCATAATCTATGTATCGAATCCTTGATGAAGACTTTCTTTAACATAACACAGATTAATGGATGTTTTTATGAAGAAGTTTTGGAAGTAACTATATATCATGGTGTTATTGGCACGTGTTCTCATCCTATAGCTATTGAATCATTTGAGGAAAATGAAGATTTTTACAAAAACAATATATCCTACAAAAACTTTTTACCATTATGGATAGGATTGCTATCACAGAAAGATGGTGTTCAAAAAGAATTGAGTCTTAGAATATATGATAATATCATGAAAGCATTTTTTGCTATCATAAATAAATTAGATTTGTCCACAAAACGTAAAGTGAAAAATAAAAGTAATGATGATGATATTTTATACTGTGATATTAAATCAAGCCTTGAACCAAATAAACTAAAAGATTATCATATATTTATTAACATGGTAGATTTTTATAAAGAAATAATTAACATCAATTTTGAAATATTTGATAAGTGGATTCCAACTTATTTAAAAGAAGTAATTAATTGTTCTTACAAGTTTCCTATTGCGAGTGGATTTTATAAACTATCTTCATATGGTTTAGATTTTTGTGATATTTGTGAATACTTTGATCATTATGAGGAAAGTGAAGAAAAGTCTTCTTGTTACGTTTTGGTCTTGAATTTCTTACAGGTAATGTGAATCTTTTGTTTTATTTGTTGTGTTTTTAACATATTTTTGTTTTTTAGGAATGTGCTGTGAATGTTCGAATGTTTAATGGTGATCTCCAAGAATCTTGTCTTCGTGTACTTTTAACGGCTCCTGTGATTTTTATACCTGAGTTACTAGTAGAAGCATCTATTTCATTGCAGGTTTACTATTATTATAATATGTTGTTGCTATTATTAACTTTGTTTAATAGGGAAATCATTTAAATATTGACTTTCTTATAGATTATATTTAAATTGGGGTATAATCACTTGACCCTTGCTAGTTTGGCATTGGAGACATTAGAACGATGGACAGATCACTTATCTAAAGAACAAAATACAATTTTGCTTGATGAAGTTTTATCATGTCTTGAGCCTTACTTACAGGTAATAATCATGTTGCAAATTTTTTCTTTCCAAGCATAACAAATTACGTTTTTTTTTTAACTTATTGAAATGTCAGTTGGCACGTGCACATCACTCTTCATTGATAATACTAATGTTTCTTTTTTCATAAATGTAGAGTCAGGGTTTAATTGGTGATCCAGATGTTAAGGTATGTTTAATAACAGATTCGAGAAGTCAAAAGAAAGTGAAGAAACAAATAATAGAAGGAACACCAAGTGAACTTGCACTCTTGCAAAGAGATATTATAACATTCATAGGTATAATTCATTAATTTAAACTTTTTTTTTGCTTTCCTTTATCTTTTAATAATTTCATTTATGTGTAAATATTTGTATATTTTTATGCTGCTTTTAAGGAAAATTGAGCTCAATGGATTGCTCATCTTTAATTTCAAAGAACATCTCCAATCATTATGATCATCTTATTCCATGGGATCTCAAACAACATCTTCGATTTAGATTGCCTTGTCAAGGTGTTAAACCATTGATTTATTTGGACAAACTCTTGCCGAGGATCAATAAATTGGTATTAGATTCTAATGATCGCCAAACTAGAATTGCTGCTTGTGAGTTGCTTCATGGGATTGTGCTATATATATTAGGCACTGGTAAGTACAGTAAATATTAAATAACAAAGATGGTTTTGAATGTTACAAGTAACAGCAGCTGAAGCTTTTATCTTATTAATTGCAAAAAATATTTTACTTTGATATTTATTTTCTAGGTATGCAAGTAAATACTGCTCAGTTAGTTCACTTGTACACTAATATTTTTCCAACTTTGCTACAACTTGCTGCTGATTCTGATATTATAGCAATGCAATTATTTGATCCACTGATGATACAAATCACGCATTGGTTTTCCAGCCAATGGAAAATTAAAAGTATTGAAACTTCTTTATTAATTGATCAGTTGATGGTGAGTTTTTTCTGGTGTAACCCTTTTATCTGCTTGGAAATTTAGTCATGTTAATTGGGTACTTTTCAATTATTTTTGTATATATATATATATATATATATATATATATATATGTATTTATGTATGTGTGTGTTTGTTTTTTTATATTTCAGATAGGTACATCTAATGAAACATCTGCTTCTGTTCGAGATATATCTGCAAAATATTTAAATGAGTTTGTGAAATGGTCTCTACGTCAAGCAGATCCTGAAGATTTGAGAAGTTCATCTGTTAATTTAGAAGCATTGATTTCTAAAATATGCGATTATAGTATTAATTCTTCAGTTCATAAGCAGTTAGGGGCAGCATTGACTTTTAATAATCTCTATATGATCTTCAGGGAGAATGATAACATAGTTGATCAATTTTGGATACAATTATCAACTTATTTTGTACAGAGCTTGATGGTTAATAAAGACCACACTAATATTCAGCAGCTAGAAGAAACTTTGAATCACCTAATGCGTGTATTGGTAGAAAAAAGTGATTTGTTTAATAGAGATAGTGGGCATCGAAATATACCACAAGTTTTGAATGGTTGTTTATTAAAACATTATGTAACATGGCTTTTCAAACATTGTGGGTTTGTTGAAAATCATTGTAGAAGAAAATGTATGGAAATGTTTTTAAAACTAGCCGTTCTTGTGGATGAAATAAATACTGCTCATATGTTTATAATGCAAAACACAGGAAATTTTGTGATTAAATCAGTAATAGAAATAGGAGAATGTTCAACAAATACAAATGGTTTAAATTCTAAACCGACTCTTGAGCACCTAAAACAAACAGAGTTTATTTTTGGAGACATTCTCAAATGGATGAAGAATTTGTATGCAAGTTTGGACTTTTACGTTTGGCTTTTTGAAAATACGTTATTTACACCAACAACTTTATTTTCTGATCTCGAGGAAAGCAAAATACTTGTGACAATTCAATACTTTATCAATAATATTGTAAATATTGATCCTGCTGATTTACCGGCATTTTTAGATGCTTCAGTCGGCATGAACATTTCTATTAAAGACAAAGAAAAATTTATTGAATTTAAATATAATACTTTTATAATGATTTTAACTTTTGTTTCAAAAATACTTTTTTGTGATGATGCTGATGAATTGATCACAAGTTTTTCATGGTTGAATCGTTTATCAAATGTTGTTGTAAATTGTTTGTTCTGTCCACAAGATTTACATTTCAATGTTGAAAATAATTACATTGGTCAAAACTATTTAATAAAGTTAAATGAATTTATAGAAAACTTGAGACAATATAAGAATGATACCTACTATCATCAAATTGAAGGATCAATTATTGAAAAATTAAATGAGTGCATACATGAATATTTCAATGAAACTGAAGTTAATTTTAATTCTGTATCTCTATCAGTAGCTAAAAATAATTGTTTGAACGCAATTTCTAGTATCTGCAAACATTCTTATGTTACACGATCTAAATTTTGGAGTAGCTTAGCTAACGGGCAGTATATAACCAATATATATAACGGATTGATAGAAGAAAATACAGATACAGATACAAAAATTGGAATTTTTCCTGAGCATAATGTAATAAACTATTATGGCAAAATTTTGTCTGTAATTTTTGAGCATGTCGACTGCAAAGATTTATTGATCGAATCAGTATTAAATGATGTTCACATTATAGGAAATATAACAGAGTCCAAATTAGCTCATGGTCAACATTTTTACTCGATTTTTGGAAATCAAATAATAAAATACCTTATGCGATTTCCTATAGATGCTGTTAAAAAAACAATAACAAATTTGGACGGAGCATCTCCAATAAAACGTCATATAATCGTTGACTTTTTAATCCAGATTATTTTATATATATATAGAAATGAGAAAGAAAATGAGTTTTTAATTTCTAACATTTCTGAAACTATGTTGAATCATTGGAATGACATAGTTCAACATGTTACTGAATCTGATGCTGTAGATTTAGTAACTTATCTGGGAATCATAGTTCCTGTTTCAAATGTAGTTGGGCCAATAAATTATTTAGCGGAATGGTGTATGAAATTGTTAATGAATACAACTGTATCATTAGATACCAAATCTAAAGTACTGGATGTGTTGCCATTTATAACTGGACCTAAAGACATAGAGAATCCTGAATTGACACAAGCTTTGAAAACTTTTCAATCACTGCATTTTCCTTTAGAATCTAAAGAGTTTCGAGAAGGAAGTATAGAAAGAGCTTCATATATGTCCGCATTTAGTGCCCTACTGAACTCGTTATGCAAGTCACAGTCGCCAATTTTATTGGAAAGGATTATTAGCATTATTGCTGGTATGAAGAAACTATAATAAATTATTTTATTGATATGATACATTAATTTACGAAATTTTATTGAGTATATCTGTTTCCATGTTTTATTCTGCCTTTTTGTGAGAGACTATTTATTACAATTAAACTATTTTTTAGCTGATTTGGATCACATCTGTGAAGATGAAATTCAGGAAAAGTTATGCAGAACAATTGAAAATTGTGCACCAGAAAATCAGTTTAATCTTTTACGAATTCCTTATTTTCAAATCAAATCCAGAGAATATACTCCTTCTATTAGAGTATCAATATTAAAACGTGTGCTTGGAACAATTTTAACATCTTGTGATCAGCAGATCATTGAATTATTTTACAAGAATTTTTTTGAGGAAGATTTTAATAATTTAATTGAAAGTCCTTACACTTCAGCAAGTCGGGCTTGGGATTTAAAGCAAGCTTATGTGGATAGAACTTGCTGTTTTCATTTGATTACGGTAAACGAATGTTTTTAAATAGTAAACGGTATCTTCGATATCACATTGTTATTGTTCTGATTCAGTATAAACTAAGAAAAAATTTTATTCAACAGATTTTAGTTTATCTTTCGGATCCAAGTATTTTTGATGATGCATCGAATCCCATATTAAGATCATTTCCAGATTTCAAACAAGAAAATCCTAGAGAAGTATTATCGACGTTAACTAGAAAAGCATTCAAAGCTCGAACTTTTATGAATTATGATGAAAATGATACCGAAAGCGCCGAGTTATTCAGGTCGTAAAATCTACTTATGAATACCATTTCTAATAAAAATTTGTTTAATTAAACTGAAATTTTATTTTTCAGACAATATCAATGTACTGCATACAAAACACTCTGTATTCTAATATGCAGTACAAAATCTGATCTAAAATTTTATACTGGTTTACTTTTTCGAGAAAATCCTTTAAAAAAGGAAATAATCTGGCGAAATATAATAGATTGCAAAAGGATTTATGAATTTCCTCAAGAATTTGAAAATGTAAGTTGAATTGTTGAAAATGTAAGTAATTTTTTATATCTGAATTTGAATGTAAAATTGATAGTTGTAGTTACATTTTAAGAATATTATTTGTAGCAGTAGGTTCGTACTGGTCTCATTAATTATTATTATGTGGCAGCGTTAAAGCCTAAAACTATGATTATAAAGGGTTCGAAATTCTCCTATAAATCAGAATTGTATCTCTAAATAAATAAATTTTAGGCATTTTGGTTTGATAATCTGAACCGTAATATTCGTAACTAGTTTTTGAAAGTGTTACAAAATTGCTGAAGAGTTTTAATACCGGCTATACTTGTTAGCTTCCCGTAGAGTAGTTATAGTAACTGGCCGAAAATCGAAAATGAAATTTTTTGCATATATTCACGTTTTGAAGGTTTCTGAATATTTTGGCATACCTCAGAAAAAATGCAAGTCCACGTTTTCGGGCGTACGGATCAACCGATTTGAATGGTTCAAAAAAACATTCGATTAATATTGATAGGGAGATGTGCTGATTAGTTTTTGAAAAAGGCAGGTTCAGCCGTTACTGAGATGCGGAGGAAAGAGTTAAGAAAATATAAATCGAGTTTTTGAAAGAACGGAGTATCCGATTTGAATGATCTAAAAAACATTTAATTTGTAATGATTGGAAGAAGAGATTATTAGTTTTTGGCAAAGACAGGTCCAGCTCTTTCGATGATACAGAGCTAAATGTGCAAAAAATGGCAATTTTTGAGAGAACTAAGCGTCCGATTTCAACGATTTAAAGACCTTTCTGCTTGGTTTAACAAAATAATCGTTATTGAAAAAAAAAAATTGTTTCAAATTTTTTTTTTTCATTTTTTTTTTGTATATCGAAAATAATTCAGATTTTAATTTTAATTCTGACTAAAGTTCTAATATAATAGTAACAAATAATTTCAACTTTGCAATTCAGTTTATATAATTCTTATAGATATTCGACATATTATACTATTTATAATAATCTATTTGAAAACATTTATTATTCCCCTAACATTTCGTTACGGTATGGAATTCGTAGGAATTTTATGATCAATTAAATCAGTTTTTATAATAATTAAGTGAAAATGTGTTTTTCTGTATTTTTATTTTTTATTTTGTAGTACCCTAAAACCAAAAAGCATTTGGTAGAAATTCGTAAAGCAGCGTCAGTAGACTCAGAAGAACTCAATTATCTTACACAACAGAGTATTTTCTCTTCCAGTTTGAGTCAGGACATCACAGAATTTGATATGACCCACAACGTTGTACGTCGACATCCGGTGGACCACAAAACAAAAGTTGTAAGAAAATTTTTGATCGTCATCGAAATTTATTGATATGTCAAGAATGTTATTATCAGTTTTATAATATTTTTAGGAAAATTTTGGTACACAAATTTATCTTACAGAAGATTTCTTGAATGATCATGAGTGCATGAGCATAATCTGTGGTGTAATAGGCCACATGGTCACTAAGGGTATTTCTCCGCTAGCACAAAATCAATCATCAATCAATCATGGCATTAATACTAAACAAGGTTATTGAATAAAAGATTCAAATTAAAAGATATAAAATTTATAAATCCGACGCGTTGAAAAAAAACATTAGAGAATTATGTTCTATGTGGACTAATTTTTACTTGAAGATTTATCTCGAGTTGCCCATATTAATTATAGCCCAACTAAACATTTATTGATAACATTTTTGTTATTAAATTATATTAATTTTATAAATCCTTGATACAAAAAATTAGATGTTTGACAATAATGATTTCAGGTTCCAGTGTACCAGTAATGCCCTCCTGGATGGAGGCTCTAGTGCAGGTTTTGGCTAATGCAGAGACTCCTGTAAACATACGTTTATTTATTATGCGAATAATTGATAATTGTCAGATAGTTTTTCGACCATACGCACATCATATTTTAACTCCAATATTAGAACTACTTGTTGACGAATGTGCTGGATCTACTATTAATCATTTTGTAGCCGACACGGTAAGTTCTCAACAATTTATAAATTTGATTTTACAAAATTTCTTTACTTTTTTATAAGCTATTATTTTTTCATATTTCATTTTTACTATAGAGGACACAATATTCATAAAAGAGTATTAGCCAATGTATTGAATTTATTATGCTTCTTTTGATGTTGGTTTTTTAAATCATAAATTGTATTAATGTGTTTATGATCTTATATTTATTATATTTATTTCAGGTGGCATTGATGCTTTCTTGGCATGACGTCGCTATTCCGTCATCTACTAGTATCCAACGAAATATTGCGAGCCAATTTATGTATTTTTTGATGAAAAATGCATACCATGAACGACGTGCAATATATAAGCTCAACATGGAAATAATTAAAAGTGTTGTGGAAATTTGGAAGACTTGTCTAGATTTTCCACTTCAATACCTGTACCTTGCTCTTGAAAATCCAGTGAAGGACAGTAAAACTAATATGGGAATTGAATTAGCCGGCATTCTTCTGGCAAATAAAATAATTCCTTGGCCTGATTCTAAGAAGGACGATTATTATAAAGCATTATGCATGCAATTTAATAGCATGGAATCCATTACATATAAACCCTGCAGTGAAGTTATCGGAATGGTTCTAAACTTAAGTTCTTTAGGGTCAGCTGAAAATATTCTTCTGAGTTCAGTAAACAGAAGACTAGATTATTTGAGAAGAAATAATACAGATATATTCATTATTTGTCTTTATGGCATTGCAAAACACTATCCAGATATTGCATATCCTTATATTACTTATGTCATTTTCAATATTTCAAGAGCAATTGATTTGCAGAAAACAATGTTATTGCAAATTCTTTTGTCAGTATTGGAACTAAAGGGTGAAGAGTTTTACTCCGATATTAAAACTTTGGATTTTGATTTACTTTTAAAAGATAAAGATACAGTTATTTTAGCTTTAAAAATTATTCACAAACTATTACCATTTTTGCAAAATGATTTGAACCGGCCTTCAACTTTAATACAATATGCTAAACGCTTGATAAGTTCAGAAGATACTAATTGTAGAAGCGTTGTTTACGACATAGCTATGACTAGTTACAAAATAATACAATTTAAATCAGATTATGATATATTGCAAAATGTCCAGTATATATTACTTTTGGGTCTTTTGGACTCAGATGCTCAAATGAATGATAAGATGCAAACATTCTGGCAAAGTGAAAATGCTTTGCCTAAAACATATGATGCCATTTTCAAGTATCTTATGAGTAATTTATATGATGAACATTTAGAAAAGAATTTTATACAGTATGGTGTTACAATACTGCTGCAAATAGCATTACAAGTTAGTGATATCCAGAGAAATATTTTTGAACATCCTTTATCTGAATGTACCTTCAAAAGCTACAGGTTTGTTTTTATATATCGATTTCATGGATGTTTATATCAATTGGTAGTAAATTGCTTTTCTTATTTCATATTAAAAAATAATTATTTTTTATTTTTATTTAATTTTGCAGTGTTGAGGATAACTGGCACATAAAGAATTCTGCAACTGTGCCATTGTTTGCAGAATCTTTTATTCCCAAAATGAAGAGTAGAAGTACAGCCACTAGGAGTACTCAAGTTTACATTGGATCTCAAACTATAGCAGCTTACTTTAAATCGAATATAGCAAAAATTCCTATGATACAAGCAACTCAGCAAGAACAATTACAATTTGCACCGACTTTTGATTTGCGTGAGTTTTTTTTACAGACATTTGCTATTTTGTGAAAAAACATTTTTGTAACTTTTTTATCTTTCATACGATTATAACATCATTCTTTATTGATCTATAATATATATGTATATATATATATATATATATATATATATATATATTTATATATATATATATATATATTTTGTAGAGTTTCGAACAAGAATCCAAAAATAATACAAAATAAAAAACAAGAAAAGTTTTTAAAAAACAATTTCTTTATTTAATTATTTGTTACATGACTCATATTTAAATTTTTTACACTTTTTGACAAACAATTAATATCGACTTCCTTTTAAGTTCAATAATTTAAGTATTTACACCCTAACATGAAAAAACATACAATCTCACAGTTCTCGTTTCAAGTGTTTACACGTGTTACATATGAACCAGCAAATACAATTTAGTTCGTTTCCAAAAGCCAATAGTACAACATCGAATACAATATTATTTGTTTTCAAATAATAATTTTAAAAATAGACAACACTTTTAGTAATTTTGATTTACAAAAGTTAACTATTCGGCGGAAAAATAACTCACAAATTCATTTTTTGTCAAAAATTCTTGTTCAGTGAAAAAGTGCTAACGTATATTCAAACATACAGGTAATTAATTCAATTTTATCATTAAGCCTTTCTTAAAAAAAAAAAAAAAAAAATATCCATAACTTTCAAAAAATTTCTATCATTTTTAATATCCTGTTCTGATAATCCACTCATTTATTTTTATCATTTTCTTTTTGATCATATTATCATATTTCTGTACATTATTACTTGTTACAATTAATTTATTATTTAAGAAAAATCTATTTTCTATTCCTAAACATATTGTTTGCTTAAATCTCATCAAGATCATGTTTCTTGACAGATGTCCTGAAGATGGAACGTACCTAGTTCCGAAACGTTGACAATAAACAAATAATTAAATAAAGAAATTGTTTTTTAAAAACTTTTCTTGTTTTTTATTTTGTATTATTTTTGGATTCTTGTTCGAAACTCTACAAAATATACACAAATCCAAGACTCTATGTATATATATATATATATACATATATTTCTTCAGATTATTTTGAGGGCTAAAATCATGCATTTGATCAGGTGCCAATTTTTTTAGATTTTCCTCTTTGTCGCCTTCCAGAATTAAAACTAAATGACTATTATAAATTGTTTTTTCTAAATTCTCAAACCATTAATTAATAACATTTAACATAGTGAATATATTGTTTGCTTTTTCCGGCCTTTCAAAAATTGCATAAGATTCATGCCTCATTCATATCTTAAAAGTTATTTTGAAATATCATTATTATGACATAGTCAATTTAATTTTCATTAGAAAATACACAGCCTCTTGATGTGAGCCATGACACATTAAACTATCTAATGTTTGATGCGGATAACGAAGAAATAAAAGTAGAAGACCTTGGAAGTCAGCAATTAAAAGACTCATTTTTAAAACTTCGAAGACGATTGCTTAAAGATAAAGATAAAGCATCACAACAATTTGCAGCAAGGGCTATTGCTAAAAAGAAAAAAGACAGACGTATTTTGGTGGGTTTATGATAAATAATAAAACATTACATATATATATATATATATATATATATATATATTAATATATATATATTGAAATGACCATAATGACTTTATAGTTATTTAAAGTTAATTTTTAAATATAAAGTATTAGGTTTTTCAGAAATCCCAGAAGTTTTCATCCTGAATTCTTAGACATAAAGAATGTATACATTAATACATACATAAATACATATATGTATTTATGTATGTAATAACAGATACAGAAATTACCAAATCATTTGAAAACATTCAATAATTACTTGTTTTGATTATTTTCTCGAAACAACAGGTAGTCGTTTTTTTATTAATAGCAGTTTGAGAAAAACGAATTTGAAAATTGAAAAACGGTTCGAAAGATACCTGGGAATATTATTATTAGTGTGATGATTAGATTATTTGCGACAAACTGTTAAAAAATTACTTTGACTATTTCAATAATTCCAAAAATAAAAATACGTTCGATTTTTTTTTATTGGTAACATGCATTCATATTGTGTGAAAATAGACCGATTAGTTTCTGAGTAATTAATATTTTTAATATATAATTTTTCATGACGTTTTTTAATTCAGTGATCAGTTTTAATTTGATATCTGTTCCCAAATAATCAATTTTGTATGTGTCCGATTTTCGAATATTCGAATTTTCGAATTTGGAAGTTAGTGAAACTTGTCCGAATTCTTTGTAGTCAAGAGTTTTAAATAATTTGTTTGCTATTATAATTATTTTCGACAATTATTTCAGACAATTAGATCAAAGATGAAAACTTCAAAAGTAACCATGTATCGGCAATATCGTATTGGCGATTTTCCCGACATTCAAATAACAAATGCAGCCATTTTGCTTCCATTAAAAGAACTTGCAAAGCGCGATTCCAGCATTGGTCAAATTGTATTACATTCTATCTACATAGGCATAATTGCGGAATTAGATTCTGAATCACAAAAACATTTTATCAAGGAAATTAATCAAAGTATAGAAAATATTTTCAGAAAAAGTCAGTTATGTAATTCTAATATTATGCGCACTATATTCGAAATGGCACTTGAATACCCAAAACTAATGAATATTGGACCAGACGTTATTTCTTTAGGTAAGCCACCAATGTAATATATTAAATATATCATTTCATAACTCGTTTTCAATAATTTTACAGTATCTCATACAAGCCAACTGTTGTCATTGGGTGCCTTATTATTAGAAAACAGACTTAATGGTGAATTTTTAGATAATGAATGTGCAAACAAACGATCTACAATAGAGGACAATGATGAATATAACCATTGGTTAAAACTAGCTGGGTTTGCATTAATCTATTATTTTTTGACTATTTATGCAGTTGTTTATCACAGTATACTGTGATTAAAAAACTATAGTTTTTTAAACAAATTATTTGTAATTCATTTTTAAAATTATTATTATAATTTATCTAGCTATATCAATAATTTGATCCCATAAACTCATATTGTTCCTATGGTTGTATGTTCTTAACCACTTATGCAGGCAAATTACCTTTCAACTGTTCCTTATGTAAAATTTGAAAAAGAAATATGTTTATACACAACTTCTTAAAATAAGCCCACAGAGCAAATAATGTATTTTATTTTTTTACATAAAATATGTTTTATATTTAATTAATTGAACTTAAATAAAATGAATCTATATTTTTCTAGAATTTATCAATCAATGGCGGACTATGACACTACTCAAGGTATATTTATGAAGGCATTAGAGTGCAATGAAGATTTTGCCCGAGGTTTAGAATTGGAATATAGTGGTGATTATTACATGGCTATGAAATGCTATGAAAGAGTTGTATCGGGGACAACAAGCGCAATAAATGAAACTGAAAGGCAATTTCATAAAGAATGTTATTTCAATTCTTTTGCTAAACTTGGGCATTGGGATGATCTGAATATGTAAGTAAAAATAAACTAATCATAGTCATAATTCTATAATTGAAATTTTTATTTTGCATTATGTTTTAGTGGTATAAAACGGCAAGTGGATTCTTTGGATGAGATGTGGACTGAACAATGGGCACAGGAAAAACTATTTCCATTACTCATAACATCTGAAATTCATAAAGCTATTAATAGTTCAGAAAATTCAGAGTTCAGTTTTTTTTTGAGTAGTTGGTTGAGTGATTCAGAGAAAGCAGCTTATTTAAAAACAAATTTTAGTGAAGAGTTGTCTATTTTTAATATTATTAATGGTGATATATTCGGAGGAGGGTACTATTTGGAACAAAAATTAATTATGTTCTTAAAAGATTGGTCAAATTTAAATTTTTTATCGAATGAACTGCGATTAATGAAATTAATGGATATTCAAAAAACATCAGAAATTCAGATGTTTATGCGCACAACTAAGAAAAGTGATAAAATCGAGTACGCTGCTACAGTAAGGAAATTGATTAAAAAATGGTTGAACAATATGGCAAAACCTTCAGACTCATTATTAATTTGGGAATCAAAGCTTGCATACCGACTAATGTTTTCTAATCATATCAAGAAGCAGTTGGCAACTCTACCTCAAGATTTTGCTTTTATCAATGAAGAACTTGATAATTGTAAGGTCAGTCTATCTAGCTATTTTGTGGTATCACAATCATCAGAATTATCCATGTTATGATTCTATTGATAATCAATTTTTCTTTTAATCAATAATAATATAATCAACAAAAATTGCCATTGTGTTATTTAGTCATTCAATTTTAGATTCAACTTTAATTTGAATTTGTTATGCTTATTATTTTTTATTAGATTAAAATGGAATTGTCATTTCTTGATGCTGCCATAAAGCAAAAGAACTTAGGTTTGTCTAGGATATATATCAGAAAACTTAAAGATTTGGGGAAGCATGAGGATCCGGAAAAAAATTATAGATGGAGGATATCTAGATGTCAACAAATTTTCTTACAAGGAATTCTTGAAACCGATATTGACAAAAAAGTTCAGGACTGCCATAGATCTTGGGATATGTTAGGTATGCAAGAACTTTATCCATCATGCACAATTCAAGTTTTGTTTATCAAAATTTAACTTAATAATATTTCATTGTCATATCCAAATATTTTTCATATTTTTTATAGAGTCTCTGAAGGAAATAGATAATTTGAAGTATTATCCAAATCTTTATATTGATGTACATCATAGTATCGTCGATGTTACTAAATTGTTTAAACATCTAATTTTTGAAAATGCGAACATCCTAGAAAACTACCCGTCTTTAGAGAATTTCATATTAAAACACGGCCAGGAAAGAGGTAAATTTGGCATTTAAGATTGGTTATTATTTACTAATATAACATTTAGAGTTGCCAAACATTTTTTTGCAGGATTAAGCCATTCGAAAACATTAGATATTTTTGGTTTTAAATGTTTACAAAAATCTATCAAGTATGCTGAAGCTGCTCATGCAAATAATGATATAAATATAGAAATAAGCACTGTAACAAATTGCTACAAAAAAATGATACAATTTAATATGCATAATTTAAAATATGCTGAAGATGATTTGAAAAGTGTATACATTTTATCAATGATAAAAAGTATTTTAAAAGCTATGGCCTTAGGATCAGTTGAAGCAAAGCAACTTTTTCCTGTTTTACTGGAATATGATGAAATTAGTGCTGACATGAAAGATGTGTTTTTAGAATTGGTAATCTTTTTTATGTCAAATAAATTAATCTTTTGCAAATGACTTTCTAAAATTTAAAGCATTTTTGTATATACTTTTGCAGTCGGCCCAAGTTCCAGAATGGATGTTCATACAATGGGCTCCACAACTTTTAGCACAGTTGACAAGTAATCGGTCAGAGACTATAGGGCCAATTGTTATCAGAGTCGCAGAATCGTATCCCGACGCACTGCATTATCCTTTCAGGCTTAGTATTCTTAATTACAAATGCCTAGCTGGTAGTTATGCTGAATATTGTGTTGCTAAGTAAGTAGTCTGAAAAAAATATTGTTATATATATAATATTAGATTATAAATATATTAAATGCATTATTATATTTATTTAGGTTAAAACAAGTATTGATGAAAAATTCTTTGATAGATAGATTCATTGAAGCTATTTCTTGTATATGTCTGCCAGAAATATTATTAATAAATGCCTTAGGAAAATTAACAGATAAAAATTGTAAGAAACTTTTACTAATTTTTAATAAATATGTTTTAGCTATTACTTTACTAGTATGTTTCTTAATAAATATTTATGTTCTTGAAGATACTGATATGAAGAATTTAAAACGCATGCTATTTCAACAAAACTTACATCCGTTGAGAGGAAAAGCATTTGAGGCAATGACCAAATTTGAGAATTTGTTTAGTACTTATATGGGTGAATATTTATATTTATTTTAAAATGTTACTGTTTTTAATTTCTTGTTTACATGGAACATATTTTTGCAGAAAAACCGTCTCCGGAATTGTTAATGGAAATTAAAATGTTGTTGAAATCGCTCTCTAATCATCGTCCGAAAACCTTGCGGGACTTGTGCCCTTGGCTTGCCGATTTCACACCTCAAGATAGTGTCGCACTTGAATTACCAGGACAATATCAGGGACACAAAAAACCTTTGCCACACTATCATGCAAAAATTGCCCGATTTGACCAAAAGGTTATTTAATTTTATATGTACAGAAGGATAATTCAAAATTTATTTTATAAATTGAACTATTTATCTAGAGTTCTTAAATGTACATTGATTATTAATTATTTTTTAATTTGGTGGTTACAACTGGCTCTTAATTTTTTTGAGCAGTAAAGTTACATACATGAACACTGTGCTGAGTATGTATATATGTTTTTAAATGCATTGCATACAATGCTTCTTATGTTTTTTTAGATAACAGTACTACTTTCTCAAAGATTGCCAGTTAAAATAGGAATTTATAGTAGCGATGGTAAAGAACATGTTTATTTAATAAAATATGGTGAAGACTTGCGCTTGGATCAAAGAATTCAGCAAATTTTCTCACTGATGAACGAGCAGCTTAGTCTTAATACTGAATGTAATTTCCGGCGTCTTTCAATTGTTACCTACAATGTAAGTTTTAATCTATTCATTTATATCGAACAGTTTTGATATTGTCTTAAATTCTGTAAATCGTCGTTTAATAAAACTTCTATAAAGTCTCTACAAGTTACATAGGTATTGAATCACCAACTAGTTTTAATAATTATTAAGTATATGGCTTTTGAATTTTGCTTTTAGTTCATTGCATAAATTTAACTGTTGCGAAAAAAGCACCGTGCACATGAAAGATATTTAAATTTATAAATCTAAAAATTTCGTGTTTTCTTTATGATAGGTTACTCCGCTTACGTTAAATTTAGGTATGATTCAATGGATACCGAAAACGAAGACATTGCGCGATATGATGTTTTTAAAAGAACCAGGTATTAAAAACAGAGTTGAAGAAGTACGGTCTTCGTATAACAAATGGATCAGACAGGCTTCAAAAACGGATCCTACATCATTTGTCGCATTGTATGGAAACGCTGTGGTCCACTATCACAGAGACGCTGTGATTTCAAAATATCAGGAATTAGTTAATAGGATACCAGAAGATATACTAAAGTGAGTTAATAATTTATATATATATATATATATATATATATATATATATATATATAAACTTTTTTATAACGCAAGTCTCCGTTTAGTATGTAACATCGATTTAATGCTCAATTCCCTCTTCTCAAATTTAAAGCTGTGCACTAGTTCGGAACAAGTATCCAATGTGGTCTATAAAATATCTTGCAATGAGTGTGATTCCGCCTATTGGCGAAACAGGGCAGAACCTTATCAAATGTTTGAAACAACACGATAATAACTCAAAAAACAAAAATCAAGGGCAAACAATGATCACAGAACATTTAAAACTAAATAACCATATTTCAATTTTTATGACGCAAAGGTTCTTCATCATTAGTCGAAAGTCTGACAAAGGCGCTTTTCAGAATCGGCCTATATTTTCTTGAATAAAAATTGTTTAAACAAACGAACAGACACCAGTTTCATCTGCGAAAATTACCAATATGTTCTAAATAATGTTTCCCAATTTATATCGAATATCTAACACCACGGTTTGTGCACAACACTATCACGCACACTTGCACAGCGCGTCAAAACGATGGTCAGTTACGAAGTCAGTTTTCTCAAAATTTTGATTTCGCATCTCGGATACTTACAAAAACATTATTCTTGTTTGGCTTTGTCCTCGGATACACGAGTGCTTACGTATAATATTTCATTTATTAATTGCTTTTTACTGACATTTAGTGCTTGTTTCCAATAATTAATTTTTTACAAGCTGTATTAATATGTGTAAGTGATAATCTAAGAAATTCAAGTATGTAATGTTTTATGCTTTATTTTAATTTAAGGTTTAGATATAATTAGTCTGTCTCACTGTCTCTTTAGTTAAATCTTTTTCTTTTTATTTTTGCTTATGTATATTCAATTTTTAACGTTACTTTCTGTTTTTTTTTAAACCACTGCCGATGACGTAGAATTTTACGTCGAAACGTATGGAAAAATAGATGTTTTAAAAAATCTTTACTTATTTATATTTTTTACTTGATGTTATGCCCTCCAAGAAATTAATCATACATTTCAACATCAAATTTGAATACTTTCAGTATTATATCGGAACAATTGTCTTAAATTCTGTAAATTGTCGTTTAATAACAGTATTCACAAGTTACATAGGTATTGAACAAGCAACTAGTTTTAATAGCTATTAAGTATATGGTTATTGAATTTGATTTATTAATCTTCTTAATTCAATTTTTTTTTAGTTAGGAATCAGTTTATTAGGTTTACGTAAATTCTTTGTTTTCTCAATTTCAGTTAACCTTCTGTAATATCGTTTAATTTTAGATTAATATGTTTTCATTTTATTTTTTGTGATACCTTCCTACCACCTTTCTCTTAAGATTATTTTACAGTTTGGACTTCAATAGATGAATCAATTAATCATAATCTGAAAATATTATAATAGATATATTTTACTTTTTCTTGTAATTATAGTATGAATTCTTACAATAACATGAATTGTGTAATAAATGTGTACATGTTTCAGAGACTCTTTTAAAGAAATGAGTGCCAACGCTGAAAGTTTTTTCACTTTGAGGCATAATTTCGCAACGAGTTACGGTACTATGTGCATTGCCCATTGGCTATTAGGTAATAAGATACTCGAAAATTAAAATGTTCACATCTAAGTTTAAATAATCTAATGAAATTGTTACTTACAGGCATCGGTGATCGCCATTTATCAAATTGTTTAATAAATATAAATTCTGGATTTGCGGTCGGAATTGATTTCAATTGTGCTTTTGGTTCTGGGGTAATGACATTGCCGATTCCTGAATTATTGCCAATCAGGCTGACACCTCATATTATGAATCTTATGGAACCTACAGCTGCATTTGGTAAGTTATTTACTGTGAACTTATATTATTTAATTGTTGTTAAACACTAAACTGATACGAATTGAAGTTATAAGTGACTTGTTTTATTATTTATTTATAAATATATAGTAAATAGTAAATTAGAATGTTTTTATTGCAGGTCTTATCCCAAGAGTTATGGTGCATGCTCTAACTGCTTTAAGGGATGCAAGATCAGTTTTATATGCCACAATGAATATTTTTATGCATGAGCCGTTAATTAATTGGCTGGAACCTATAAAAATGTATGGAGTGCGATCCGAGGATAATGAAGCTTTAAATTATACTGATAGTAGTATAAGTTCAGGTACCATATGATGCAAATAATTTATAAAATTTTCTATTCTTGACGTTTCAAGTCGTCATGAATTGTTTAAGACCAGTGCTGGAAACAGTGTGTATGCATATATAAAAGAAGAGTATGTATGATTGTGTGTATATGAATCAATTTTTGACCTTTTGTTTTGAAAAGTTGCTAAATCTCAATTTATATCGATTTTCTTTTATTAACCCATATTAAGAAGTTTTTGCAACTTGTCTTAAGGCAAAATACCACTTACACTTAGTTCTTATTTTCAGAAATATGAATATAAAATATTTCTTGTTATTTTAATTTTATCGAACTATTTTAATGTTTGTTGACCATTAATGACATATTAGTAATTTAACTTTCCTATAATATATGTCCGCATCTGCGGAATTCCGCATATTTTATATTTAGTTGTTCACGAATGTCATTGTTATATTATTTCAAGTGGAAAATGAGCAAACAATGGCGCATTTGAAATTGCGCATGGCGCGTCTCAAACTCCAAGGTTCTAATCCTGTCCATATTCTACAAGACGAGTTGAAACATTCTTTTGTTTCTACTATCAATGAAATTTACGTAAATCATTATATCGAAAAAGGAATGGGAGTGGAACAACATAATATACGTCGCAGAATAAAAATGAAAGATTTAACTGCTAAAGAACAGGTTTGCGATTGTTATTTTTTATATTACATATAGTTCTATTAATTCGGTTGATCAGTATAATAGGTCTTATATTTAGAAATTTAAAAGATATAATGTGTTAATTGGTCTGAATTGCCACTAAATTTAATATTAATTTAAATATGTGGTATGAGTAGTTTAACTTGACTTTTTTTACCTGCAGGTGGATTGTTTGATAGATTTAGCAACCGATCGTAGTATTCTTGGTTGTACTTGGCATGGTTGGGATCCCTGGATGTAAAAACGATGTGCATTGTACTAAAAATATGTTTGATAATATAATGTTACTAAAATATGTTTGATATACTATAATGTTATATTTTGTATCAGTTTCTTGATTGTTAATATATTTTTATAGCTATAAACTTTTTCATTTGGATATCGATGGAAAGAAGTATTTTTTTGAATCGAATCAAAATGCCGGTTTTTACTCGCTGCGCGACCCACGATGATGATACCTATACATGATAGATGTGTAAATTGTTTTCATTTGAAGGTTCGTAATAAATATTGTTTATAATTTAATATTTCGTGAAATTATCTCTTGCATATTTTACTTTGTAAGAAAATGTAGCTTGTGATTACTTTTGATAATATTCATATGTCATATGTGCAGTCAAATAAACTCACACATGACTTCTTTTATCTTTCTGGTCTCATTTAACCATCAGTTAACTGCGACGCACTCATTAAACTGTGCCCACAGTGTTGGGTTGCCGAAATCGAGGTAAATTGTTATTTTTGAGGAAAAATGTCAGTATTTATTTTAAATCAGTCTCAAAACATTCTAAATATCTTGAATTTTGAAAAAACGTTTTATTTTTTTTTTTTTTTAATCGGATTAGCCATGGGTAAAAGATTTATACGCATGACGGTATAGTCGTTCATACACAAAATTCCGCGACGATAGTATATTTGACGATTTCCAAAACTGTCCCATGGCAATAGTATATTTGTCAGTCACTGTTAATTGTGTGTAATATTCGGAATTGAAAAATTCTTGTATTCAGATACTTTTCTCATATAACCAGTGTCAGTAAAATATTGTATTTTTACATTTAATCTTCAAAAATGCCTCGTGTATATATTATACTTTTTTCATTTGGGCTTTCCGATTTAACTTAGTAATCGGAATTGTAAACGTTATCATATACGTTTCTGCAATATCATCAGGACAGATTTTAAAAATTCAACCGCTCTTAGAAATCCTGTATTTAGAAAAAAAAGAGTGCGCGTAAGGTTCACACGCGATTGAAGTAAAACTTATTTGCTACTGTACAAGATAGCATTTAAGACACTGTCAAACCATAATATACATTTATATAATGATTAATTATAATTTATATATTTATAATAGCATTAAAAATATGTATAATATTTAAAAACAATAATGCAATTAAAGTCATATTTCAAATATGACATGATCGATTTGTCATTGTAATTAGCATTTAGAAATGAACCTTCATTAGAGGAATGAAGTAATTGCTGATTAATAAATTCTATAAAATATTTGTTCACACAGTGAATTATGTTAAACAACGCCTAAACAAAGATTGTTTTCGCAACTTCACTCATCATGTAATAATTGTGTTTGAAGAACTTCATGCAATTAAAATTAACATACATTCATTGACTGCTTGTATTTTTTTTTTACTTTTTTGCTGGCGATATAATCTCGTTCTTTGAACGGCTGTAATATCTGTCTTGTCCAAAAAATATTTTCCATTTTAATAACTTCAGAGATTTATAGAAACTACGAATAATATAGAAATAATTTCTAATCAATTAACTTACGTTTAGTACAAGGCAGAAGTGTTTAATTTGTTTTATTATTTTCAAGGAACAGGGTAAAATATTTTTCTGATTCAGACATTTTTCATTAAATCGTGATTTGTACTACGATGTAACTTTAAAATGTTTATTCATCTATACGCATACAACGTTGATGCCGGTACGCATACAGCGACAGATCTCTATTCACATACACGACGACTAATCACAATCGATCCGTATTGAAATGATTTAATTGAGAGCGAATGACGCGCAGTTCGGGCGTAACGCAATTTCCGTTGCATCTGTACGAGTTTACACCCTAGTCGCGCCTAAAGATGTTTTTCTTCAATAACTCTCTTGCAATAGCATAGCAAAAGGTTATGTTATGTAGTTTGTAGAAGATATTGTTGAGTATTTTCTTCAAAAAATGTCGACTGAACTCCGCAAGTTCTATTATTCGAAATAGCTTTGCAAACGTAAAATTGTTTCATTTCATAATAAATTATTATAATATATTTAGCCTCAAACTTTGTAGTTTAATCAGTATACTTGTAAATATAATCAGAAAATGCACTTCATTATATATTAATTTGTTATCTCCGAATATCGATGTATTTGCCTAACCGCAAAACAATTAATAGGTATTGCATATTGCAATTGGTTTGCGGTTTGCAAAGCATATTATGTAAACCGGAATTTTATATTTGTATTTTATCAAGTGCTGATAAGACAATAGTGATAAACTGAGACTCAAACTTCGAGATTTTGTATAAATTGTATGCCATTTAGATGGCACGTCAGTTTCTTTGTATACTTTATACAAGTGAGTTACAGGTGATATTGTGTGAAGAATTTCTTCAAAAAATATTATTCTAACATTATGGCGCAGATACCTACACGACCGAAAATTTTGTTAACTCATCCGGATATACCGAAGGAAGCTATTGACATCATGTCTCCCAAGTAAGATAACATTATCTATTTAATATTTTTATTTACATTTTGACAGCTTAAGGAAAACAAATGATATAACAAAATATAGTCAGTTGTTAAAATATTTTAAGTAATAAAATACAAAAATATTTTTTTTTTGCTGAAGAAATAATTCTATACAATCACGCTATTGGAGTGATTGCAGTATAATATTATTGCAATAATATTTTGATACTAATGATAATGATGAATCTTACATATAATTTTGGCGTATATTTTATTGATATGTTAGTTAATTGGGCAAATTGTTTTGTAATTTTCTAAGAGTTTAAGCTTAATTACTATCAGTTATATAACGCTAATTGAATGCCTTCATTCAGCCTTAAAAAACACTTTTTTAAATTTAATTCAAATATTTCATGAGTTATATAAAACTGAAATCGATTTCGTGAATATCCTCCTCTCTCCTCTTTCCAATTCATCAAAATTGTAATTTTCGATTTCATATTTAATTTTCAATCTTTTTATTAGCAATCTAATAGTAACAAATGTTTTCAGTTGCGAAATAATTATGTGCACCGGACGTCCGTCGCCATCACGACAAGAAATTTTGGAAAAAATTGTGGGTGTTCATGGTTTAATGTGGTGTACTAAAGAACGTTTGGACAAAGAGATATTAGATGCTGCAGGTAAATTAAATTGACTAATATAATTGTGTATGTTTTTACTCGCTATTATTTTTTTTATTTAGGACCCAACATTATGGCCATATCTACTATGTCGGCTGGGCTGGACAATGTAGATTTACCCGAAATCCGCAAAAGAAATATTCCAATTGGTTATACTGCAGGAGTTCTGAATAATGCTGTTGCTGATTTAACTGTTGGGCTTATGATAGCTACTGCTAGAAGATTTGGAGAAGCTAGGAAACACATAGAGAAGTACATTTAATTTTTTAATTTAAATATAATTAATAATTATTGATTATTGATTAATAATCAATTAATTGATAAGGCTATAGAGATGAAGGTGATAAAATTAATAAATCATGCTTGAAATGTAGCGTTCCTCGTATGCACCTCGATAAAACAAAGTTTAATTCGAAACCCAAGGTTTTCAGTTAATGTTATGTATACTCGTATTATAGTAAAATATATTTTCTGGACATGGAAGAATTTATTTTATATTAATTTTAACTCCTTTTCGCCACCGGACGGTTTCGTGAGAAAGATGAAGAAATTTTTCATTTGTTTTATATTTGAAAAGGAAAAAAATTGATTTTATTACACAACAGTAATGAATTTATTTCGATTACAAAAATGAAGTGTTTTTTAGTTGAACTTCTCTAAGTAAATGACAGACAAAGCGGATGGTTTTCCAACTCGTGA